CAGAACCCAGCGCCCATATGGGATACTGGTGCCGCAGGCGGAGGATTAGCCAAGTGAGCCACGGCGCCAGCCCCAGTAGATGTGGATTTGTAAAACTGTTCCCTCTCATTGCTAGATATTTGTTGTGGCAGAGGGGAGGATCCTCATCCCTTCTTTATTCTTTTCAGTTTATATCCTAATTAGCAACCTGTACCAGAGTAGCTGAACATTTTTATTAACTGAATTTCCTTTTTAGATTGTGCTTTTGTCCATTTTCACATCAATAATCTATATAGTCTCTAATTTCATGTATCATAACCAATTTGTCTTACTATAAATCTTTTTCAGAGTAATTCTCTTTTTATTTTAGTTATCTTATTTTTCATGCTAATGAGCCTTGACATAATCAAGTTTCTCAATATTTTCCTCCATCAAAAGATACTTTGTGTCTAATAAAGTCCACAGCTGTTTTTTGTAGTTTCCTTGTCACGTGGATTTTAAATATTTATCTTACTTATCTTGAAACTATTTTGTAATTTTTTTGTGTAGCGTGAGTCTGTTCCTCCCTCACATTTCCAAATTGCTAGTTAGCTATATCAATATTGTTTATTAAGTAATTTTAAAGGTTTTATTAGTTTTATACATGCACTTTCAAATAATAAATTCTTTGATAAAACGTGCTGTATTTCTCTGCTTTCCACTCTATTCTGTTCATTTGGTCTTTTCTTTCATGGCCATATTCATTACATATTAATCATTTCTATTTTAATAATTCATAGGCTGATCTGATTTCATTTCTTCTTTTTCTGTTGGTATGTCTTAGTTTCCCATTTGTCTGGTACACGGCTCTGCTGAGCTGGGCTGTGTAGGCTATAGGATGAATGAGGCCTTCCCTTGGTCTTCAAGGAGATGTAGTCTTGAAGGATGTGAGCAGTTGATATTGAGAAGCTCAAAAAGAGACTTTTTGAAGGCTTAAGTTGGAAGGGAGTTAGATGAGTGTAAGAGGGAGAAGCCTAAGTGCAGTCTTGATTTATGGGCAGAACTTCCCCCAAGGTAATGGGCAGAGAGGCAGAAAGGAATGTGTATGTGCAAAGCAAGCACTGGACGAGTGCATGGAGAGGAACAGCTGGAGCAGTTAAGGGCTTGGCCAGTGGCTGGGTGTGAGCCTGCAGTGATCATTCTCTGCAGCACTCCTATCATTCTACTTAAGTCTGATAACAGTTTAGTAAAAATCAAAACCAACCCTATTAAACCATAACTACTGAATTAAATTGATTTTGTACAGTCATTTGTTTAAGAATGGATAGGTACATGGCCGGCGCCATGGCTCACTAGGCTAATCCTCTGCCTGAGGCGCCGGTACTCCGGGTTCTAGTCCCAGTCGGGGCGCCGGATTCTGTCCCGGTTGCCCCTCTTCCAGGCCAGCTCTCTGCTGTGGCCAGGGAGTGCAGTGGAGGATGGCCCAAGTGCTTGGGCCCTGCACCCCATGGGAGACCAGGAGGAAGCATCTGGCTCCTGGCTTCAGATTAGCGCAGCGTGCCGGCTGTAGCCGCCATTTGTGGGGTGAACCAATGGCAAAAGGAAGACCTCTCTCTCTGTCTCTCTCTCTCTGTCTAACTCTGCCTGTCAAATAGATAGCTAATAGGTAGGATTGCATAATATGAAATGTAATAGATAGGCCTTTTTTTAACAGTGTCAATAAAATTAAGACTGTAATCAGGTATGTGTGTTCCTTTTCACTATTAAAACTCAGAGAAGCATACCCCCTTTGAGGAATAATCAGTCAGCTTTGAGAAAGGGAACACGAACTCAGATGTCCTGATTTTTTTTTTTTACTTTTTTAATTTTTTAAAATTTTTTTGACAGGCAGAGTGGACAGTGAGAAAGAGAGACAGAAAGGTCTTTCTTTGCCATTGGTTCACCCTCCAATGGCCGTCACGGCCGGCGCACTGAGGCTGGCACACTGCACTGATCTGAAGGCAGGAGCCAGGTGCTTTTCCTGGTCTCCCATGCGGTGCAGGACCCAAGAACCTGGGCCATCCTCCACTGCACTCCCGGGCCATAGCAGAGAGCTGGCCTGGAAGAGGGACAACCGGGACAGAATCTGGCGCCCCCACCGGGACTAGAACCCAGTGTCCCGGCACCGCAGACGGAGGATTAGCCTATTGAGCCACGGTACCAGCCTAAATACTGAATTTTTGAAGACGACCCCCACTTTAGAACTGCAGATATAAAGGGAAAGAGGGAGGCTTTTTCCCTCTGAAAATGGCATCAAGAATAAAATTAGAGGGACCGGCACCGTAGCACAGTAGGTTAATCCTCTGCCTGTGGCGCTGGCATCCCATATGGGCACCGGTTCTAGTCCCGGCTGCTCCACTTCCAGTCCAGCTCTCTGCTATGGCTTGGGAAAGCAGTAGAGGATTGCCCAAGTGCTTGGGCCCCTGTACCTGCGTGGGAGACTGGGAGGAAGCACCTGGCTCCTGGCTTCGGATCGGCGTGTTTCCAGCTGTTGCAGCCATTAGGGGAGTGAACCAACAGGGGAAGACCTTTCTCTGTGTCTCTCTCTCTCACTGTCTGTAACTCTGCCTCTCAAATAAATTAAAAAAAAACTTTTAAAAAAAGAATACAATTAGAATATGTTAAGTAAGATGTTGAGGGATAGACACAGAGAGGTAGAGAACTTACACTGATGCATTGGTCTTCTAAGTAAGTGCATCTCATATATGCCTGGAGCACAATCACCAGAAGTGTTGGATAGCACATTCAGCTCCTTGGGTGACTCTGACCAGAACCCTGGCAGCTGTGGTGGCAGAGACCTCTCCAGGCTGCTATGACCAAAGCATGAGAACCATGTTCAAATGACATAGGGGGTTACCTACCTGGTGTGTCCACATGATTGGTAAAGCATTCATGATTTTCCAGAGAGAGTAGAAGATCTGGGTAAGTCGAGGAGGGAATAAAGGAATTGCTGGGAAGAGCCCATTTTGAAGTTGGGAAGCAGGAAATTGTGTGGGAGAGGTCAGCCGAGCTCCAGGAAATTGTTGAATGTGTTCCCATGGCTTCCCCCACCGTCCAGAGCTTCTACTCAAAGACCCTGTTGTTATTTCTCTATTTTCAGGGGCCAGGACAAATTGCTATAGTAGGCTACTGGGGCAAGGACATAAAGAAAACTGGGCAGATTTCTCTTCCTCCCTGGCTTGTGAAACACACCTTTCTTTCTTGGCAAGCAGAGCAACTAACAGTGATTGTTACTGAGAAAGTCCTGTGCATTTTGCTTTTCAGAATTTGATTTTCATGTGTTTATGATGAGCCTATGTACGAGTCGGGCCATACTTCACTCTGTGGGCCGTGGTTCTGCTCTGCTCTGCTCTTAGATGGGGATGCTGCTGCTCCACCTGCACATAACCTGAGATGAGCAGCTCCCTTGTCCTGAAAGAAAGCACTGGTGGCAAGGCCTTGGTCTAGTTCATTGTTCTCTCTCTCTGCCTGCCCGCCTCCCTCTGCTGTCTCAGCAGCTCTTCCTTCTTTCTGCCTCAGATCAGCTTGGGCAGTCAGCATTCATATCTGTAGGTTCTGCATCCATTGATTCAACCTACTGTGTATTGAAAATACAGGAAAATAGTTAAGTTATATTCATATGGAATATGTACAGACTCTATTTTCTTGCCATCATTCTCTAAACAATATAGCGTGACAGCTGTCTATATAGCTTTTGCATTGTATTTGGCATTCTAAGTCAACTAGAGAGGGTTTGACTTACATAGGAGGGTTCTATGCAAATACAATGCCATTTGATATAAGGGACTTGAGCATCTTCAGGTTTTGACAATCTTGAGGGCTTCTAGGACCAATTCCTCCATGGATACCAAGGAATGATTGTACTTCCAGGGTTCGTTCTTTGACACAGACTGATTGACAGCTGTCATGAGTGATAAAACATAAGTAGTAACTGCTCTGAAAGTTCCAGTTCACAACAGAGTGACATCCAAGCAAGTTAGAGACACATGAAAGGTTTTTCATGGTACACTTTATCTTCAATCACAGCTCCCACCAATCCTACCTCCCCCATTCTAGGGACACAATCCTCATTTCTTCAGTACACCTTGCATTCTTACCTGTCTACTGTGCCTGCTAGCTTAGTTGCTGTTACCTCTAGTGTTTCCCTAGGCAACTGTATTTAAATAGTGCCCCCTCTCAGTGGCTTTCTCAGACCTCGCTCCCTCTTCCAACACAGAATTATTTTTTTCATCAGTGTTGTGTTTAGAACACTATATCTGACTCATTTTTACTTTTGTGTCTTGAACTGGACTTGAATTTCTTGCGACCAAAAAGTGGACCGTTAGTTTTTTAATTCCTCAATGTTTGATGTGTAGACTATTTATCATAAACTTAAATTGACTATATTTGAACCAGCAGTCCTGTCTTGATATAAATGTAAATCAAAAGAGCATAGGAAAGTACAAGTTCTTTGGAGCAGGCAGTCTGGGCAAGTCTGCCATTTTAGTGACAAGTCTTTCTTCTCTCCATGTAGTATTATAGTTAAGGCATAGCATTGACTCTTCTGAATACTCGGAGACTCATAGAATTGTGGTGGGAGCACCTAACTTAGAATCAGTGCTTTGATATGCAGGAAGAGACCAGGCCTGTACTCATGTTGGCCACACAATGAGCTTTTGTGAAAATCACAGCCAACAACCTTTAGAAATTCATGAGTATTAACCCCCATTACATTCCAGAAAAATGTATTCTGGAAGAGAACAGAACATACAATGCATTTCACTTCAGAGAGAATCTCATTAAGGAGTATTAACCTAAGTTTAAGGCATTGGGGTAGGGGAAAGGCAGGCTGCTTGATGAGAGATAATTGGTTAATTCAAGGAGGATTTTAAACATAAGTGTAGTGTGTTTCATGTGTTTTGCTGAGATTGTTTGACTATCAGAGTCATGAGAAGACAGTAAAGTGGGTTTTGCTAAGTTCCTTTTTCTCTAGGGTTAATGGAGCTGCTTATTCTCTTTAATAGGTTTCAAAACCTGCTGTGGTCCAGAAAGACGTTTGTGGACAACATGAAAATCTATAACCACAGCTACATCTACATGCCTGCCTTTTCTATGAAGACGGGGACCGAGCCATCCCTCCGGGTTTATTATACACTGTCAGATGTCGGTGCCAACCAAACAGTGCTTTTTGCCAATCCCAACTTTCTCCGTAGCATTGGAAAGTTCTGGAAAAGCAGGGGAATCCATGCCAAGCGCCTGTCCACAGGACTCTTTCTGGTGAGCGCAGCCCTGGGCTTGTGCGAAGAGGTGGTCCTCTATGGCTTCTGGCCCTTCTCTGTGGATATGCACGAGCAGCCCATCAGCCACCACTACTATGACAACGTCTTGCCCTTCTCTGGCTTCCATGCTATGCCGGAGGAATTTCTCCAGCTCTGGTATCTGCACAAAGTCGGTGCATTGAGAATGCAGCTAGACCCGTGTGAGGATACCTCCCTCCAGCCCACTTCCTAGGGACAGTGGAAGAAGGAAGGACTGAGCCAGGGTATTTTTGTTAGCTTTTCTACATGACTGCAGAAGGGGAATGGTCACGCTGTTTCATGGATTTTCAGAGACCGCTTGGGAAACAGGACAACCAAACTCCATGCAAAACTTTGCTTTTAGTAATGGCTAGGAGGACAAACAAGAAATGAACTAGCCTGTGAAACATTTTATCACCCGCCATGGATTTGCAACTAGTACAAGGCTGATGAAGCAGTGTTTGTGAAGCACACGTCCATGGGTCACATCTCGAAGATGCAATTGAAAAACAAGGCAAACTCTAGTCATTGAGGCTGAGGAGGTAGAATAAAGTCTACCTGCAGGGGCAGACGTGTTGCCAATTGTCAACATAAACCGGCTTCATGATAATAATAAAACCTGTCTTACTAAGACCGGCATTAGAACTATAGGTTTTTTAAAAAGCATTATTTATTTTTGCCCTATTTCGGGGCCATGGGTATGGGGTAGATTTAAAAAAAAAATCCCTTACTGAGTAATAGGGGTACAAAATGCTACAGCTGATCATTGTGGTTTGTTGAACCAAGTCTATATTAACTGTAGTTCGCATCCGTTTAAAAAAGTTTAAATAAGAATTGCTTCTTCCCCCTGTGTCAAGTCTGCTTAGGCAACGTGAAGCAATGTTGAATTCAGACTGTGTTGATTTTCAGTCCGGAAAACATGAGCCACTTTCCCTCCTCAGAATGTAAGCTGTAAACTCAATTTTAGGTCTGTAAGCCTGTTTGCATTGTTACTATGATTTTAGTGCGAAGTGACCAAGTGCAAGTGCTTTAGTTGTGTATGAACTGGCATAATTGTCTTCATAATTTATTGTTCAGGGCTGAAGCTGAGCACAGTGATGTAGAGTCTTTGGATTACAGGCCAGAAGGTAAATCCCTTTGGATGATACCATGGTATAGTCGCTCTAAGGTAAAGCACGCATGTGGACACATGCAGGCAGGCATGGGCACATGTACACACATACACTTTCACACACACCATGAACAAAGCTCATTCCCAGCAACTGTGACAGCTGAAGCCCCAGGACTTGATACAGCAAAAATCTGTCGTCAGTGTTGGAAAGCCACAGTGTATCATGTGCTGTCCCCTATGTGTTGTTGTAAGACAGGCTAGCTTACTGAGAGTGCAGAAGGCTTATACCACCGTGAGATGCAGGTCTTAGCCCCACCAGGTGCTTACCTGAATAAGCAGAGTGTTCTACTCCTTTTGAAATCCCCTCCCCCAGAATGTCCTTAATGGGCCCACTTTGGCCATGGTCACACAAGGCACAAGGTGGGACTTGTACAAATAGTGGCTGGTTCCCTTAGTAGCGGGTAGGACTACTTAGCTTGTGACACCGCTTTGACATCCAACAAGAAAACTCTATTATTAAATTGCATTTACATGTAAGAGAGAGGCAAAGCTGCCTTCCATATTTGGGCTTTGGAAGGACTTACTAGAGCTCATTATCTTCATTTTAAATGTCACTGAAATATTGGTAAACTGTACCAAGATGCTTGATTTCAATTTTTGTGGTATAAACTTAGTATCTTATAACTCACACAGATTAAAACAAGTGGCGTTTTTCCATGGGTTAATTTGCAAGATGTCAAGATAGCAAAGCCCTTGAGAAAATTCTTCATCATTGGAGTTGGCAGTTTTAAATGTGTTTGAATATCGAGATTATTATAGAAGTCAGCAGTTAAAGTAGAACTGGTTGACATACATAGGTTATATAGGTACTTAAAAAGTTAAGAATTAGCATCAGTTCTGTCCAGAAATGGTTTGCTATTTTGATCCTACTTGACAACCAAAATCTAATGAGAACATTACTATGAGCTGAGTTAATATTCACTTTATTTGCAACCCTGATTATGTTTTCTATGTTGAGCTATTATTATTTAATAATTGAGACAGGAATACATTTTTACTAATACACTTCATTAGAAATATAAAAGGGCTAACAAAAAACCATATATAAAAGTTAATAAAATGTCACTCAGATTAATGTTTTAATTATTAAAATTGTTCAAATGTAACTAATGAGTTCCAGAAAGCCTATATTATCATTCCATCAAAAATGCAACCTGGAAATTTTGTGTCTTATTGTGATTCCTGGAATACATTCATGCACTAGTTTTACACCATGTGTAGCTGATACATTTGTCAAACTATGCTCTGTAGCTTCTGAAGGGCAAATGGAAATGGCCAGTCCTGGGAATGTTCTACTAGACTTGAGCTGCTCAGTTGGAGTGATTCCCCTCTTCCCTCTGGCAATATTTTCATTGCCATGACTCAAGGGTGCTACTAGTATATAGTGCGGAGAGGCCAAGGATCCTTTTAAAACATCATACAAGGCACAAGTTGGCCCCTTCTAGCAAGTAATTACCCAATCTTAAGCTAGTACCAAGTGAAGTTTTGACTGTTACACATTATCTTCACTCACGGATATGCATACCTGCTCAGAGCACTCAAAATATGACTACAGTTTAATGAACGTGTTTCCTTAGGGTGCGTTACAGTCTGGCATTGCTTTCTAGCCAGAGTTCATATGTGTGCTCTGAAATGCTTTTTTCTGCGGCTAGTCAGATAAATGTACTAAGCAAGAATGTGTGCGGGGGGCGTGGGGGCATGAAGCTAGACATCTCTATCTTAATTGGGATCTGAGAGGATTCCAAGGATCTGAGAATTATCTTGTAAGGTACTGTGACATATTTCTGTGATTCTATCGAATCTAAACTCCCATAATTTTATTTTATTTTCCTGAATATAAGACCCGCAGAATTGGATCAGGTACTTTACCAAGTTTGGTCAGTTATATTTTAATAGTACCAGCCCATAAGATTCAGCTCAGGGAACGTCCAGGTTATGGTACGTGCGTTCAGTAAGTGATTCATGCTTGATCACTTTGAGCACATCTTCCAAGAGAGAGCATCGTTTTCTGTCATCAGGCTAAATTGTAAACTGTTTTGTAATGGCAAAAAGTAGTTTGCTTCATGGAGGCAAATAGAAGGGAGGAAAGTCTTAATTTTTATTGGCCCCAATTTGAGAATTGCATCGATTGCAAGATCATGAAAAAGGATAATCTCTTTTATTTTGACCAGATGTCATAAAAGTAAGATAGGTGAAGGATTAAGTCATTCTACAAGAAGAAAAGTCGTGTTTTATCTGAGGGGTTTTTATATGGAAGAGAACTCCTGGATGCGCATGCATCCTGTAGAATATTTTACCGAAAGTTAAAACCCAAATTGTGCATCTCAATTGCGTGATTCTTAACACAAAATGTTAGGAGGTACTCCTTGGGTTTTTTCCTCTGTACAGTTCAGTTTTAGCTATTTTAGCAGAGGTCAGAAATAAATGATTGAAAATGACAGATGTTCAAACAGTCCCTTTTGTTTGGCTTTGTGAAGTCTGATGCCCTTCTTTTGGCTAAGACCTTGTTAAGGCTGAATTTAACTTGTACCTGAAGAAAGCTGAGCAGTGTGGTTTGCCATGGGGAATGACTGAAAGAATCATGGGGTTCCATATTTGCCAAAAATATTCTTAGACAAAGGATTTAAAGGAATGATAGAAGTGATCCAAAATGGAAACAGTAATGACATCTCATCAACACCTTGAGTAGTTTTACATCTTTGTTGTATGCAACCTACTATTCCTTTGTTTGGAAACCAAGAGTTTAAATTTCTATTTGAAAATAGGAGTTTGTGAAATTTTTAACAGACATATCTGTGTTGGAAGAAATCTAAAGGGGAAGATGTCACCAGTTCAGAATTCTAAGACTTTCCCACCAGACCCAGGTAGAATCTGCCCTGTGTTTGTACAAGTCCAAAGAGCAGGATCTGTAAGGACTTCTGGGGACAAGTATGTGGAAGAGTGAAGACTGGGAGTAATACTGCCTTAATCGTTTCTGTACCTTGCTAGTGTAGAGGTCAGCTCTCAGATCCAAAGACTTCTGGTGGGTGCGCATCTGGTTGGAAGTGAGTTACCAATTTCAGGCTGCCTGCAGCTGGAGTCAGCATTAAATATAACAAGCAGTGTTGACAGCTTCATTCTGCCATGTGCCGGGGAGGGAATCATCACACCCCGGAGCTCTCAGCATTCAAGGAATCAGAGAGGTCTCTGCCCTTGACATTGACTGTCCGTCTCCGTCCTGTTCCTGGAGCAGGCTTGGCTCTAAGCTTGAGCTGATACATGTGACTAGCGAGGTGCTGTAGAAATGTGCTGAGGACCTTAAAATGTTCTACTGCCTTCATCTGTTTTGCTATTGTTTAACTTGTGCTCTCTAAATTTGGGTGTCTTGTCTTAGAGTCTGGTCACCCTGACCTGATTGTAACCCTGCCCTGGCTTATGAAAAGCAGGGCTTTCTTCCTCATTCAGATGGGCTTTCTGGGTTCTTGAAGCTAGCGGGATGTCAGATATTCTGCCTAGATGCCCCTCACTGTGAGGACACAGTACTACAGGTTGAATGTTATAAAATTCCTGTTTTATAAGTTGATGGAGACATGAATCTCCACAGCCTTTTTCCTTCCTGTTAGAAATGGATACTGTCTGCTTCATCTCCATCGTTGCATTGTCTTTTGAGGTTTTTTTTTTTTTACATACATCTTAGAGGTGAGAGACTGAGGCAAGTGCATGAATGGGATGCTTATTTAAACATAACAGGACCTCTGATCATCATTACCGTAAGGAACAATGCAGGCTTCTGTTTCCTTCCTCGGTTTTTCTCTCCTTCCCTCCCTCCCTTCCTGCCTCCCTCCCTTCCTGCCTCCCTCCCTTCCTCCCTTCCTCCCTTCCTCCCTTCCTTTCTTATACCAGCATTTCTGATTTCTTCTCTCCCTGACACTTAAGGAACACATGACATAAATTGACATTTGATGCCTGTGAACATTTGCATAGTAGCCAAAGCCTTTGAGAAACACGGTAGGGGAATTACATTTTATGGTCACTCATTCATCCACTTGCCTGTGTCCCTGTTGACCCTAAGACTGTGCCTAAAGCCTTTTCGATTGTGTTTTCCCGTTGAAGCTGTGGGCGTTCTAGAATCAATGATGCTAAGCTCTCTGGGAGTTTTCTGGAATGACAGCCAATTACATTCAATCCTGTCTCTTTCTGCCTCTTTTCAGACTTTAACCCAGGTAGTTTTCATTAAAAAAAATATATATGTTTTGGACAATACCAAGAAACATATAAGAGATGTGATTTAATCCCAGGCAGAGAAAATCTCTATGCAGGAAAACAAAATTATAATTTAAAAGGATTAACCAGCATTTACAACAAAACAGGCTGAACTCATGGCTTTTAATTTGAAAGGAGCATGGGGAGGGTGCTCAGATGGCCGCTAAGCAAAGAATGAGGGAGAGGTTGGACAGCCCAGAGTGAAGCTTTTTGAAAATATTTTAAAGGAAATATATAATCATCCCGTTGTTAGGTTTAAGGATGAAAAGCCACTGGAGGAAAGAGCAGGAGAGCCAGAGTGTGAGACTCCGGGGGTGGGGGGACACCTGCTTTCCGCTCTGCCCCTGTCAGTCTCACGGCCCCCACCTCCTTGTCCCACCATGCCTTGCGCTCCTTGGCGGCTGAAACCAGTGAAAGGAGCACTCCCATTTCCATGTCACTCTTTCATCTGGGCTTTAGTGCATCCTCCCAAAAGAAGGTTACGGCTGAGATCTCCTGTCCCAGTGACGGGAAGGGATAGCAGAAGTACCGCCATAAACGTGACCCTCTGAAATGTGGTCCCCATTGCTGTGTGTAGCTTGGAGGAGACTTCAGTCCCCTGCTTCCACAACTTCTTCAGCAAGAAACGTGTGGGTCCACTGTCCCTAAAGCAGATCCTGCTGCTTTCTCTCCCCTGTGTACTAGAGTACTTAGCACACAGACTCAGATGCACGCCGGTTAACGTTATTTATGGAGACGGCTGCTTGGACGAGGCTGGGAAGTGGCAGAGGGTGCCTTAACTTTTTCTGCTTTGACTACCACTTTCTTACGTGTGTCTTTGATGCGCTTCTGTCCCTTTAGAGATGTACTTGTGTTCCAAGTTGTATGTGTATCATCAGCAAGAACTGACAAATGTAGCAAATGTGACTGTTTTATAGAAATGCACAGTTGTCTACATAGGCTTTGGAGAAGTCTGATAACCATATGTAAATATTCCTTGTTGAAGTAGTAGAGCCTTCTGGTAGGAAGCTCCTTAGATGATAGCTACATGAGGACTTAAAAATTATGAATGTGTATTTCTCTAGCAAATTCTAGTGTTCCTGGAAGCAAGGAATCAATCAGTCGCTTCCTCATGCAGTCTTAAGCATCGGTTCCATGGGCTGTCTTGATGGTAGATTACTGCAAGCCACTCCCCTCATACGATACAGGAGTCACAATTTAGGGTGATCTGTGGACACTGGGGTACACCGCAGTCAGAGACTAGGGAGAAGGGGAGAGAATAAATCAGTAGAGTTCCATGGAAAAGCCTGCTTTATCTCTGAAGAATCTGGAATATCACTAGACCTTAGCTACCGATACTGCATTGTTGATCTGAAACCGTTAGAAACAAGTACTTTCTGGTCTCTTCACTCTGTAGCTGCACATTATATATTATTCCACACATGTGCAGGCTGTGTTAGGAGCTGCTTTTTCAGAGACTGAAGGCCAGAAGAAATAGAAAAACTCAGATATTCCTCTTTTCTTATACAATGTAGTGTGACCACCAGTCCATGAATGTAATAATGCTGGAGAAGATTTTAGATTAGGCTATAAAATGGAAGTCATCTTTGAAGTGCATATGAAATCGCTTCTTCCAATTAAAGCCAAACTCCACAGGCAGAAAGTGTGGGGAAATCAGTTCTCCTCATTTCTTTTTTTAGAGTTTCATATAAAATGTAGCAGGTAAGAAAAAAAAAACCTTTAATTGGTACTTTTTATAGTGCGACTTGAAAAACTAGTGTCTGTCTACTGGTTCTATTGAGTTGTTTCTTTATGCAGAATCTAAATGCAATGTCATAGGAGGAGGTTTGCTGTGAAAACATGTCTTTTTACTTGGTGTCTTCATTGTAATTATGGCTGGCAGTGAGAAAGTTCACTAAGTCTCAATTTCTCTACCTCCTTTACATGGAGAAAATTTGGAAACGTACCCTGTGAATAAAATGGTTTTTTTACGCCTTGTGAAGTCTTTTTATTTCCCAGAAGTATAGATAATGCTGTTTCCTTTTTGATTCCTGCTTTATTTTGTATCCATGTCAGCTTTTTTGTCCTTAGGGATGGAAAGTCATGGTACTTAGTGAGGAAATTGTTTTAGAAATAAGAATTATAATTGCTATGACTATAAGAACACTTGGTGCTTCTTAGGCAGAGGAAAGGCACTATCTATTGGACAAAGCAAAAAGAAAATTGAACATTTACTTAATATGATTATTGTCAATGAGCCTACTTTTTCCAGCAGTACAATTTTTCCTTTTTTCAATGAGTCAGTATCAGGGTGTATGTGTCCGAGAGGCATTTTAATAAATACTAACAAAAAGCAAAGCATTCATATGCCCCTTCTGCTCAGATGGGTGACTTTGAAAGGCCCAGTGTACCTCCTTGTCTGAATTATTTAGATAATTGCTTTAAATTCCCATTTCCTTTGGGCCTTCATGGCCCAGTTCTGCCACGCGCGTTAGCAGGGGCAGTGACATCAGGAAAAGTGCCCTTGGCCCATCTTTTATCAGTGCTGCTCCTCTGAAACTGATGTTGGTACCTGGTGAGATCTCCTTCTTAATTCTCTGAGTTGATTCTCACGAAACATGGCCTGTGAGCCACAGCTCTTTTAGGAAAGGATGTTCTATTGCCTAACAGAGAATCTTCCTGGTGTTTAGCTGGATGACTTGGGGCCGGGGGGGAATGGCAGACTTCTAATATAAATGTGGGTCACTCTAACCTATTCTCAGACTGTAAGAAGAAAACAGATTTAACTTGTTTTCAGCCATCATCATTATGTCCAAAACCCCTGGATTTTCCTGAGGCCTGCTGTTCTGCTATGTTTTGATTTAAGCATTCCGAAGCAGATATTAAACACCCAAAGACGTATACTCACAATTCCCCCCTAGACCTAAAAGGATAATGGCAGATTATAGACTATATTTTTGCTTGAAAACTTACTACTTGGGTTTTACTGCTAGATTCTTGATGCTATAGAGAATTAAAGGTACAGGATGATTGGACTCATTCATAGTTCAAATTATCAAGTTCTCTGAGCTTTTGAAAAACATGGTAAAGCAAGCCCCTTTGTTGCTTCTTTTATACAGATTGAATGAAAATTTTTTTGGTCCTTGACAAAAGGGATGTTTTCTGGGCACGAATTATAAAATTGGCCTCAATATTGGAGGACTTTTTTGTGATAATGTAATCAAAAGTTATATTAAAAGGCAATCAAGCATTTATTGGTGTCAGGATAGACATCAGTGAAGAAGATGCCAACTTTTGTGTTTGGGGTAACAGTAAGAATAGAGCATCAATGTTTACCAGGTGCATCACTGTCATCAACCACCCAGCAGGTGGATTACTGACCTCCTGGGGGACAGTTCTCTGTTGGAGATTAACATTGACCTTTGCTTTTCTGCATTTGGTTGGCCACTTTTTTGGTAGTGGTAGAAGCCTGATTATTCTTGCTCCCTGCCATTGATGTCATGGATAAGCGACATACATGCTACCAAACCACTTTGTATAGAAGCCCCGTGACAAAGTGGAGTAATCCAGAAAGGAGACTAGCTGATAGCTACTCAACATGTAGTCTTTTCTGGGTTCCTCTAAAGGTTAATAAAGAAGTTATTCTTTGAGTGTTAGCAAGTGGTTATCAGTTCTTTCCCTCATGGACCATGCAAGAATTTGTTATAATTGAAATAGATATTTGTTTAGAATTTGCCTTTGCTGTCCTCAGGGCTTCTATCAGCACCACCATCTATAAACTTATAAAATGACTCATTTACCATAAAGGTATCATATACTACATACAATGTCCTTCTGAGTAAGGGACACACATTTTATTGCAAAAGAATTATAGCAAGGAGCTCATGGAATTAATCAACATTGCTCTTCACCGTATTGTATAGAACATGCATTCTCATTGGGAGTGATGTTCACAAAAGAGGCCAAAATTGGTTCTAGTAGGCAAAACAAACAAACAAACAAACCTCTTAGATATTAAAGTAGTTGAAAGGAACCACATCCACTTGATTCTAACCAGCACCATCCCAAGAGGAAAAAAGGACACTCGGAATTTCTGGGGCCTACTTTTTGTTTGGCTTGCAGTGTGATGATAATTGAATAAAGGCTTGTCACTTTCAGTTTGGCATGTTGTCCAAAGTGGCAAATCAACGTATGATTTCCTGAAATATATATATATGTGTACATATATATATATACACACATATATATAGTTAAAATTGTTCTATTTCCTTCATGAATTGACTCATTTATTAACTTTCATACCAATATCAATCTTATATGAATAAATATCAAAATAAGTATCTAAACTTTCTGGTAATGGGAATGTACTTTATAAATTTATGAAGAATAGAATTATAAAATTCATTTTGAGGGAGAAAATTTTGAAATCCATATATATGAAGTCTTCAAAAGGTTAATGAAAACTGCAAACATTTCTGCACAAAAATAAATATATTTTTTCATTACATTTCTTGTAGTCCCTTGTACTCCTTACTTTGTACACTATGTTGCTAATGAAGTCATAAAATATTTCTTTTTGATTAATATTCATTATGCAATAGACTTTCCAGCCTTATACTTTCACCCACTGTTATATTTATTTTTAAAAAGCATATCTTGTAAACAAACTCACAGCTCTTGGGAATCTAAAAGGAGTGGTTGAATTTTAATTTTATTCTGCTTATGACTTGTTGGGAAGTGGTAGTGACTTACCAGCATCTTCCACGCTAGACTGGAAATCAAAAGTCCTGCTGTGTGTTTCTCAGGCCTATCAATCAAACTTTCCCACCAAAATGGTTGTTATTCTTGATTTAGTATGGAGGGAGATACTGACTGGGCCAGGCTGAAGCCAGGAACCAGGAACTCCATCCTGGTCTCCCACAGGGATGGCAGGGGCCTAAGCACGTGAACTCTCTTCCACTGCCTTCCCAGGAACATGAGCAAGGTCCTGGATCCGAAGTGGATCAGCTGGGACTCCAGCCTGCCAGCATCACAAGCAGAGGTTTAACCTACTCCTCCGCAGCATCATCCCCTCAGAAGTTCCTTTGATAGCTGAATATTATTCCATTCTATGCAGGTATCCCATTTTGTTTAGTCACCAGCTGATGTATATGCAGATTCTTTTCAATTCCTGGCTGTTTTGAATAATGCTACTATCAACATTGTGTGCATATTGCTGGTTCACATGCTAAGTTTTTGATTATTATAAACTTACAGTGGTGCCGTTTGGTACAGCAGTTAGGTCACCATTTGGGGTGCCCCTGTATACCTGGTTGAAGTCCCAGCTCCTTCACTTCTGATCCAGTTTCCTGTGAATGCACACCTGGGACACAGCAGGTGAAGGTTGAAGTACTTGGGTCCCTACCACCCCCATGGAAGACCTGGATGGAGCTCCAGGCCCCCGGCTTTGGCTAGGCCCAGCCCTGGCCATCTGGGGAGTGAACCAGAGGATCCATGATTCTCTCTCTCTCTCTCTCTCTCTCTCTCTCTCTCTCACCACCCCTATACCTCACCCTGTAACTCTGCCTTTCAAGTAAATAAAAATATAATCTTAAAAAAGGGAAATATTAGAGGGCTAAGAGATGGTTGGGAAAAACACTGCAGGATGAGGGCATCACACAAAGGCAGGCTCCTGCAGAGTATATAGGAAACAAGAATGTCAGCGTTTCACATATGCCAGCAGCCACATAGACGCCAAATGCACTCATGTCTTCCGTTAAAAGAAAAATGTCCAACCTTTGGGATGGAGGCAGTGGGAGTTTTGCCTAATTGTATTTAACATATTTTGCAGCTATGCTGTTAGGAACAGTTTTAGAACTATTACATCTTTCTGATGATTGAATAGGTTGGATTTATTCCTGAAGAGAAGGAAGCTTAACATTAAAGAATGTATTAACATAATTCACCACATTAACCAGATTAAAGAAAAATGTCTTATGATTGATTGTATCAGTAGATGAAAAATCATAAGAAAAAATTAACAACCGTTCCTAGTTTAAACAAATCTTCCTGTGTTAGTAATTGCCTTGTTCAGATGTCATTGTCTCACAAAGGTTCGTGTGCTACTGGCTTCATCTAGATTTTGGCCTATTAAGGGGATGGAGCCTGATGGGAGCTGAGCAGTTACTGGGGACAACACCCTCGAAGGGATTATTGTCGTTCTCTACGGACACTAGTTAGTTCCCACAAGAGCAAACTGGTAAAAAGAGCAGTCCTGGTCTCTGAATCTGTCTCAAACATTTATCAGTCTCTTGGTTGAAAACATTCAAAATCATTTCTTATAATTCAAAAAAAATACCAAACATTGTTATGTATAATTATCTATAGTCACCTGACAGTTGGTGGACAGTGTGCAATGGATATCAGGACATCACAGAGTACTTCATAAATACATAGTTTTTTACATCAGTTAAAAAATAGACAATTGAACCATATGTTAATATAAGGTAGACTTCTTTATGATGATATTGACTTAAAAATATTTATATAGCACACATAATTTTAGTGCTGAAACATGAGAATATGCCTTTAAAACAGAGGACAGGGTGTCTTGGAACATTTTGTGATGCTGCAACAGAATACTATCCACTGGGTAATTAACAAACAGAATCCTGCTGCCTCTTGATTCTAGAGGCTGGAAAATCTAGAGTTGAGGGGCTCGCATCTGGCCAGGGTCTTCTTGCTGCATCATTCCACGGGGGAAGGGCAGAGAGAGAGCAAGGAAGAGCCAAGACTGAACTCAGGGCCTCAAGCCTTTAATAATTGGCATTAATTAATTCTTGGGGGTGGAGCCTCCCATGAAGACCCGCCTGCCCACACTGCTGCACTGAGGGTTAAGTGGTTTTATTTTTTGGTTTTTGGTTTTACTGGGTGACACTTTCAAATCCTAGCACTGGAGTAGGATTTTTTTTTTTTTTTAAGATTTATTATTTGTTTGAAAGTCAGAGTTACA